ATGACTACGAAGAGACACTGAATGACTACAAAGAGACACTGAATGACAAAAAGATGCATAATGACTACTAAGACTCACAAAACAACAACAACAAAAAGAGGCTGAACAACTATCAGGCCTGTGTGTCTTGCTACTGTAAGAGTGTCTTGCATGTGTGTGTCCAGGGCCTCGCTATCTCATAATCCATCTGTGGACAATGGACACGGAGTCCCGCTAGCTCGGTGCATCTGTTGACCGATTCAGAAGCTCTCACAGTTATCAGTCTCACTGGAAAGGAATGTCTCGGTCCGCAGCAGTAATGCCCGTGAAATCTCAGAGTTTCGGGGGCGTGGTAGATGTTTCTTGGGGGGGGCACGTTACAGCTGTGCACAGCAGCCTCATCAATCAACACCCGGTGTGTTAGCTGGTGGGAAATCTGTCTCTGACCAGCCAGTCTGTGCTTTCTAACACTCAGCAGAGGATGAACAGGTTTACCAGCAATAGAGAGGGCTGATAATCCTCTGTAAAGAGTTCTTACATCAGAGTCAAGGAGAGGAGCTAATGAAGCTCTGAAGACTAAACGAAGAGGCTCTTTTCACGCTTAACATGCTGGAAGTAGAGGTAAGGGTCAACTGCACTTAAAGTATTTAATGTGCAGCGTCTCTTCTGAAGCGGCTGCTGTCTGCTGGGTTCAGAGCTGAATCACATTTTAAACGTCTGGATGTTTCTCATAACTAACTTAATAGTGTTTTTAATATCACCCTGTTTGTGGTTAGAGCTGCAAGTCTTATTGATTGTCATTATTGATTCATTCTGTTGATTACTTTGACTTATGTTTTGTTGACTTCCATCTTGTTTGGGCCTCTGCACACCCGACTCTATCCGTGTAAAATTAATATTAATAGTAATTGCAAATTCAAATATTTTGCTTCTGAACTTATGAGGGAAGCAGAGGCCAGAGGAACTCAATATCTTAGGAATACCTTGAGGGAATGTCTTTAATGTAACTAGTGCTCCACAGTTTATTTCTAAATGTAGCACTATGACCAGTGTGCAAAATACCCGGTGGCAAACAGGGGGTCTTATGATGTTAGAGACCCCCCCCCCCCCCGAAATGTAGCTATTGATCAATCAATCATTCTCATCTCAGACTCGCCAACCCTCACATAATGTGTCCGTACTCCAGCCGCTGACACTCGCTCATGAAGCTCGGCCAGATGTTTGCAGCACTCATAAAGCTCACCTGATAGTAAAGTAGTAACGTCCTCGTGAGTAACGTTTCTCTCACACTCACATCAGGAACCACTGAGAGCAGCTTGTTTGGCTCAAGGTTGTTGCTGCAGAGCGGATTATAGAGCGTTCACTGTTCACTGTGTGTGGTGGAACACGGCTGGTATGAAGCCGTGTTCTTAATGGTACTAATTGTTATGGAGGGAAGACAAATACAGCTAAATGACGAGTAGAGTTGACTTAATTTGATCAAACTACGCTCATAAAATACAACATTTAGCTCTCTGATTCACTCTTTTTAAAATGTAACGTTTATTTCAGGATATTTTACGTGGAAGTCGTCATCGAAGAACAATGTTGCGACTAAACAGCGTCTTGGTTTGGTGTCACATTGTGGTGATTTAGTGAGATCAAAGGCGTATTATAATAAAAGCATGAAACCACACTTCAGGTTCTCCTGCTGTAAAACATAGAACAAGACGTTTGTCAGAACAATGTAACAAATGTGACAAATAGACTCGAGAACGTCGTCTACATAAAAGCTCATTAATGGAAACGTGCCAGTTTAGTTCTTGACTGGATCACCGTCGGACAGGAAGGTGGAACAAGTTGAATTAAACACCTCTTTTCATCGTCTTCCTTCAGTGATTACAATACATTTGCACGACTTGTTCTGGCCTCATGAAATTCATGGAGTCACTCATGCAAGAAAAATACAAACGGACATTTCTGTCTGACTGTGTGTGCTTTCACATCTCAGACGAGACGGACGTTTTAATACACATTTTGCAGCAGCTGGTTCAACGTCAGAGACCTTTGTGCCGTCCGTTATGTGGCCTAAATATATCGGAGTCAAACAACGCCGTGATGCGCAGCAGTTTGTTACTTTGTGCCACAGATGCTTTTCACTGAGTTGAGCGAAGCCCGACTTTAGGCGACGAGCAGAGACTGTAAATCAGAAGTTGGTTTGTGACTGCTGTTTTGAAGCCTCGAGTTTGGCATTTTGTCCGGCGCCATCTTGGTATTCGGTTGTCTCTACCTTGGTGGAGTCCAACCGAATTTTTAAGCGACCAGAAGGTTACGACTAACTTTCATGAAGTTATAAAGCAAAAACAATGACAACTCCCAGACTGGACAACACCATGGTAGAGACCTGTCAATCACCGTGTAGCCCCGCCCTAAAGCAT